GACTTCCTGTCGCAGTTGATGATGCTGGCGCCGTCGATGGAAAATCCAAGGTCGGTCAGTAGTTCGCGGATGAAATCACCTCCTTGGCGGCGAGCATAGCGCCAAAGAACTCTGCCTCGGCGCTCGAGAGCGTGATGGATCGCTGCATCTTGGAGAACCAGTGAGCAGTGTGGAAGAGGCATCCGTAGAAAAAGAAATTTACAATAAAACTCTCTCTAATAATAAGAACATGCTACCGGAGCAAGCGGGTTTCGTAGCCCAGTTTGAATCGACGTAGCTCTCGAGGTTGCGGTCGGGGACCTCGGGGTTCGGGGTTCGCCGGGGCGGCGCGAGAGAGATGCCACCGCGAGGGGTCGCGGTGGCGTCCATCGCCAGGCTCTCTATCTCAACCGACGATCCTCGTACCTCGGGATCGACGGCCGATCGTCATTGGTATGCCACTCTCGCGGCTTGCAGCGCATCACTCGCGCGTGCTCTCCAGGAGCTAAAGCTATGTGGCGGGCGCATGTGTGGGGCTGAGCCTGTTTTGGCCGGTTCTGACCCGTTTACTATCAGTACCGCCGTGCCTAGGCCACAAGAATCACACACGGGGAGCGGCTCAGGGGCCCAGTAAGCCGCCGAATCGCCATATGTCACAACCAGGCTCACCCAGGGCTGGACCTAGCCGAGACCCCCTGAGAGTGTGCGTTGATGCGTTGACCGTTATCGTGGGCACCGGCATAGAGCTGTTTAACGTTGGGAGCTGAACAGTGTTGCTAGTGTTAACAGTAACAACAGAACAACAGTGGGGCTCCCCAACAACAGTAGCTAACGTTAGGCCGGCTGAACAACAATAAGGAAGGCCTGGCAGTGACCCACGACGATCTCCAGCCTCCAGGTGCGGGTAATACCCGAAAATACCCGGAAAAACCCAGGTATTTTCGGGTTTTACCCGGGGGTTTTGGCATTTTCTGCTTGCTGACCGCTGAACAACAGTAACAATAGTAACAAACAGTAACAGCATGGGCTGGGGTGAACACTTGAACAACGTTAAGGATTTCAGCCAACACTAGCGCAACTGTTAGGCCCAAAGGTAATGTTAAACAGCTCTACACCGGCACCGGACTTGTGTGTGAGCCCTGCCGTCCGCGATGCACACAAAGCCCGTATTTTCTTCCCCCAGACGCTGGCGTACCGCATGCACACCGCCCCTCTATCCGTTTCTATATCTGAGCTCATCAACGTGTCAAAAAGCCCGCCAGAGCCCAGAGCGAACGACGCGCCGCGCTCGTTCAAAAGCGGGGGGGCCCCGCTACGGCTCTCTAGTCGCTACTTTGAATGCCGTGGGGCTCCTGCCCGAGTCCGGGTGCGGAGATGCGAGGGTTGCCCCCCCCTTGCCCCACCACTTTGTGTGTGTGGAGAAGTTCACTTAACCTAGACCTCAGTCGCTACTACACCTAAGTACGGCAGCCCCGCGAGCGCATGGGCGGCCGGCGCGAGCCGCGGAGAACGGCGGCCGAGATCGCGCTGATTTGGCAGGAAAAGACGAACGACAACGAGATGAGAGCTGTGTTGATGTAACATACGTTCAACAATGGCAGAGACGTGGGCTGACAGCGCTGCCTTCGGGGGCCCCGTGCCGGAATGAGCCGGCCACAGGCCGTGGCCCAGAGCGCTGACGCTCCGAGCCACCGCTGCACGCACGCTAGACTGCCACAATCAGATACTCCTCATCCGAGTACCCGCCCATCCTCACGCACGATTAGTGTTCACGCACGGATCACAGCTCTCATCTCGTTGTCGTTCAACAATGGAGGGACGTGGGCTGACTCGCCTGATGTGGTGCGTGACGGTGAGGTCACGCCACCTCTTCCGGCTTAGTGCAATCGACCATGACGTCAACCTTCGGAGGCCGCCTGCCCACGAACCGGATCTCGTACACATCGGGAAAGTCGGTGCTGCCAGGGGTGCTGCGCCCAAACGTCGAGGGGATATTCACGCGCCACGCCGCGGCCGCCACGGCCGTGCCCTCGGGAACGGCCACCCGCTTCCAGCCCCGCCCCTGATCGAGCTCGGCGCTCGCGATCTGGACGAACCCACCGCCGCCAAGCGCCTCGGCTTCGACCTCGACGAAGCGCGGGGCGAACACGTCGCTCGACGTGTAGATCTCGAGGGCCGCGAGCTCGTGGGGGACGGTCGCCGTGACCCAGATTCCGACCTTCTCGCGCGCGCCCGGGCGCGCATACCAGGCCGTCGCGGTGTCGCCGTCGAGCGCCTTCTCCGGCCCGTTCGTCAGGACGTGGTCAGACCCCGAACTCCCGTCGAGTTCCACAGGAATAAGAAGCGGCGGTGGCGTACCGACGATCGTGCAACGGCTCATGGGGAAGATGTTACAGCCACCGTCGCTACAGCCAAAGCCGTAATCAAAGGCAACACGGGCATAGTCGTCGGAGTCTTCCCATGCGTGCGATGTGTCGCCGGTCCGTTCGCCGTTGTACTTCCAGCCCAGCACCGTGCCGAGCCCGGTTTGGGAGCCGCTGTCTACGCGCACACGGATCCCGATCCGTGCGTTGTTCGCAGAAAGCGTCTCGCCCTCGCCATCGACAGTCATGCCGCCGCCATCCTCTTCACCCGTAAGATCGCACAAGTCCTTTAAGATATCCGAGTAATTCTTGCCGTGCACGTCCAGGCAACTTTTCGCGCAGTACAGCTGCTTCGAGAATGTTCCCTCTTTCTGCACACACGTCTTGGCCCAATTGGTATTTTTGGCCATGTCCGAGCAATTCTTCCCATGGTCCTCCATCCAACCACTGCGGACGTCCTTGGAGCGCCGAGTCTCGCAAAGCCGCCGAGTCTCGCAAAGCTCGGCCTGCGAGGCCGCCTTCTCCTCGGCCGGCAGGTCCGCCTACAAAACACAGGCGCAACGCGCAAGAAGGACGTGAGGACCGTGAGCTCGGCCAGCCTATGCGGCCGCAGGGTCTCTCTCGGCCAGGAAGGTATCTCAGAGGGTTCAGAGCAGGACGTGGTGCTCGGGTGGACACTCCAGTCTCCACGCCCCCAATCAGCTGCCAGCTCGACGCACGTGAGTGCTAGTGGCGAACTTGAGTGCTAGTGTCGCTGCAGCAGCACCTCCCCCGCTCGAGCGGACGCGAAAGTAGCACGGAGCATGGGGGAGGGGGGGGGGGGAGGGGGGGGGTGCACCTCGAGGAACGCCGGCTTGCCGGCGATCGCCACCATCATCACGGCTCCCGTCGCAACGGACGTGCCAACGACGGCTGCGCCGGCGAGGAGGACCTTCCACCAGGGGGTCCCCTTGGGATCGATCATCGCGTACTTACCTGCCGGAAGGCGAGCCCACGCGTGCTCAGCTCTCTCCGCCTATCTGATCTAGGGGGCAGGCTGCACGTGCTCAGTCAGCTTGATGTGCGCAGCAGGGGGGGAGCGGGGACACGCTCGAGCGGGAGGAAGGAGGGTGAGCGGGCTGGGCCCACCGTGAGGGGAAGGGGCTGGTCACTGATCTAACGGCGGCTGCGCTGTTGGACCCGCGAGATAGGCTAGTGCTGATTCATCACAAGGGCCGCGCACCGAGGGAGTGCTTGTGGACGGACGACTTTGCGTCGCCGTCGGCCTCGTCTCTCCGACGAAATCGTGGCAAGCAATTAATTCCCGTACCGGAATTCATTTCGGCGGTTGCGATATCTAGTACTCCGAACTGCAAGCGCGGCCGAACAAACACACGTGGAACCACTGACAGCCTGGGCAAGAGCACTGTGCTGGAGCACTGGGTCGCGCAATGACTATTAGAATAGTGCTCTGAATAGTGCTGCGCCGGCGCCGGCGCAGATCTGCGCCGATGCCGGCGCAGAAAACGGCGCACTTTTCACCACATACGCGTTTTGCATGGTTTTACGCGCCCCACCGCCGGCCCAGACCGCCGCCCGGCCCGCCCGTCCGCCCGCCGCCTACGGTGCCCACCCCGCGCCCCCGGAGCCCGAAAACGGGGCGCCGCGAGCTCGCAACGCCGAGTTTTCCTCGAAATCACACCACATAGATCTACCTGGTTGCCCCTTCCTATCGATGTGTGTGTATGTTGATTGTCGCAACGACTGCGATCATCACCGCGGCCGCGACCCCTACGCCGCGCGTCCTCGACATTTGCTCGTTTGGCGCTATCGACGGGCTTGAGAGCGCAGCCGCTGCGGCTGCCAACCAGCGGGCGCTCAACGCAGCGCTTGCGGCGGCGGCGGCTGGCGACACCGTCCTCATCCCGGCTGGCGCCTTCTACACACTCGGCGGCGTCGTGGCCAACGGGCTCGTGAACGTCACCGTCGACGTGACAGGCTCTCTGATCGCCGCGCCCGCCTACGACGCGTGGCCCGTGAGCAACAACAAGCCGGCATACGCCAACTTTGTCCAGTTCTCTGGGTGCGAGGGGGTCACGCTGACTGGCAAGGGCGGGCTCGGACCGGGCCGGGTCGCCGGCGGAGGCCTCGTCGACGGCCGCGGCGTCGGGTGGTGGAACCGCGAGATCTTCCCGCATATATTTGGGCGGCTGCGCGGGGAGCGCCCGCGGCTCATTGCCATCAGCGACTCGAGAGGCCTCTTGATCGAGCGGCTGACGCTGCTCAACTCTCCGACCTACCACCTGCTGCTCGATGACGTGGCCGAGGCCGAGGTGCGGCTGCTCAACATCACTGTCGACCGCGCGGCGCAGCGCGATCTCAAGCACCGCGCAAGGCAGGCGCGCCTGCAGGAGGCCGGCGCGGACGGCACGGCGCCGCTCGGAGGCCTCGAGCCTGAGGACCTCAACACGGACGGGATTGATCCTTCCGGGCAGCACATCTGGGTGCACGATAGCCTCGTCGCCAACGACGACGACAGCATCGCCGTCAAGCCCTGCGCCGCAGACAGCTGCGTCCGCTCGCCCTGCTCGCAGCACATGCTCTTCGAGCGCCTCAACCTGACCGGGTTTGGCGCCTCGGTTGGCTCGGTCCCGCCGCACGCGCCCTCGCCGCACTGCGTCAATAATGTAACCTTCCGTTCAATCCGCATGATCGAGAGCGGCAAGGGAATCTACATCAAGTCCAACCCCGAGTGCGGCATCGATGAGGTCGCGGGAGCCCCAAAGGCCCGCGCGTGCGCACACACAACACACACAACACACACAACACACACAACACAACACAACACAACACAACACAACACAACACAACACAACACAACACACACACACACACACACACACACACACACACACACACACACACACACACACACACACACACACACACACACACACACACACACACACACACACACACACACACACGCACACACGCACACACGCACACACGCACACACATGCAGCCACAATCGCAGCGGCACCGTCTCGGGCGAGGGGCGCCTCGTCGCCACTCCGCCGCCGCCTCGCACCACAGGCGGCCATCATCTCAAACATCCTCTACGAGGACATCCTCATCGACCGCCCGCGCTGGTGGGCCATCTGGATCGGGCCGCAGCAGCAGCACGAGCCGCACTCGTCGCTCGGCCTAAAGTGCGCCCTCGACTACCCGCTCTCGCGCCACTGCCCGACGCAGGGCTGCGTCACCTTTGCAAACATCACGCTGCGCAACGTCCACATCGAGCGTCCGCTCATCTCTCCGGGCGTCATCAAGGGCAACGCGACCAGCCCAATCACCGGGCTCGCCTTTGACAACGTGACGGTCTCGCGTCCCGGCCGATTCCCCTTTGGCGCGAGCTACGAGTGCGAGCACGCCTCTGGCCGCGCCGTGGGCTCGTCGCCGCCGCCGGCCTGCTTGCTGCCGGGAGTCCTGAGTTCTTGGTAGGAGTTGCTGGGTACTGCATGCGTGTTGCGAGAATGGAGAGTTGGAGATGGATCATGGATTGGGGAGAGGGTACAAGGCTATTTTCGATCGGGTTCGCAGGTGGGGCTGCACCTGGGCACACTGGACGGCCCGGCTAGGGGACGCATGTACCACTACCGTGCCACAGTATCCGGGGCGGGGGGATGTACCTGTGGTTACAGCTCCGCGTTCCTGGGGCTGGTACAAGGCGCTACAGTACGGCTTTAGGGACAGCGGACACTAGCTTGAAATGCATGTGTAGATTGTGCCAAAGACTATCAATAAATGCACCGCTCTCAGATATGCAGGGCGAGCGTCTGGAGGATATGGACCATGATGAACGTCCACCAGCGCAGAACGTGATGGGCAGTGCAGCAAGGTCTGCAAGCGCTTCTGCATCGATAGAGGCTGCATCGCAGGCGTCGA